ATATATATATATATATATATTGTACAGATTATTATTTTGACTTCTAGCAATATTATGGACATGTTATTGTTTTCAAAAAGATGCAGTTATTTTTGTTATCTTTTCAATTTAAATAAAATGAATTTAAATTTAATATCTTATATACCGTGCTTTATCATGTTCATGATTTAATGGATTATCTTTATGATTTATCTCAAGAAATTTTTGCCATGTATTTCGAAACAGCTGATATAAAAATTTAATTTATAAAGTTTTTTTAGTAATCAATATGTTAAAAAATTCATTAATATGATTTAATTCTTTACAATATTACATGAATATCACATATAAATATTGTGTAATATTACAATAATGCAACTGTGAGATGTCATCATAATATTACTGTGATTCATTTTCGAGAACATTTTAATGTTACTATGATAGCCCAATATTTCTGACATATATTTTGTTATAATATTGCAATGGCAAAATAATATTGCTGTAATGTTGCTATAATATTACGTGGAGATAAATAACGCGTAGTGTCTTTTTCCGTGTGGCATCTTCTCCCGAATTACTTTATATATTATATATAATAATGTACCCGTACAGCACAGAAATTGTATCACTTTGTAATGTTGTATCACTTTGAAATTTGTAACATTGCTGCAATGTTGCATATTGCAATACAATGTTGTAGAAACATTGCGAAAACTTCTTTTTGAAATATTCAGCAATGTTGTAACACTATTTTTAAAATATTTCCAGCAAGAGATACAAACTGACACGAGAATCATCCTGTCCTTGTTTAAAAATTAGTAAGAAACAAAGATAAGAATGACTTTTGTCACTGTGTCGATTTGTGCCTCTGCTAGAAAGCTCACTTTGAGTGTTAAGACTTGTATATATTGATTTGTACAATCCAATAAAATAATTGATGTGTACAATCCAATAAAATAAGGACCTGGACATAATGGAAGAATAGAAATTAATGATCACGTTTACACTTAATCGGGTTTCATAATATCTGTAATCATGAAACTAATCAATTTCATAACTATATTTTTCTGAAAAATGGAATGGCTGATTAATTTCTAACTACGAATATTATTAAACCCGATTAATGTCCATTTCTACTATAATTTTAATTCTCAATTCAACTTATCTTCGTCTTTTTCTAATTCTAAAGATTAGAAAAAGACGAAGATTAAGTTGAATCGAGATTAAAGTTAATCTACATTAGTAGAAACGTAGTTAATGTCTATAATTTATAGGAATTGTGCCTATAATTTATAGACATAAAACAATTAGAAGTAAGGAGGATTAAATATAATAGGTGTACAACTTTGCTTCTGCCGTTTTCCTATAGATGGCTTTAGCGGTAAGTGGTGGTCGAAATAAATAGACGTCATACAATACACTTGGGCATCTGTCAACATAACCCCATAGAAACATTAGTCGATTTGTGTCTGCATCATAAAGTTATTCTCGATTGAAAATGTCAGTTTACGAGCCAAATTCTCGTCATTTGCGGGAAGTTTTAATTTTTTGCTTCAATATGAAGAAATCTGCGGCTGAGGCTCATCGAATGCTCTCAAATACTTATGGTGAGGCCGCTATTAGTGAAAGAACGTGTCGTGAGTGGTTTCAACGCTTTAAGAACGATGATTTTGGCGTCCAAGGTCATGCTCTGTATTTGCTGGGACCAGCTCGGCGTAGTGTATTATGAACTGTTAAAACCGACTGAAACAATCGCAGGCGATCGGTATCGAACGCAATTGATGCGTTTGAGCCGAGCATTGAAAGACAAACGGCCGCAATACAACGAGAGACACGATAAAGTGATTTTGCAGCATGACAATGCTCGATCCCATGCGAAAATGATCAAGACATACTTCGAAACATTGAAATGGGAAGTCCTACCCCACCCGCCGTATTCTCCAGACGTTGCTCCCTCTGATTATCACTTGTTTCGATCAATGGCACACGGCCTGGCTGACCAGCACTTCCGGTCTTATGAAGAAGTAAAAAATTGGATCGATTCGTGGATAGCCTTAAAAGATGATCAGTTTTTTCGACGCGGGATTCGTACGCTATCCGAAAGATGGGAGAAAGTAGTGGCCAGCGATGGACAATACTTTGAATCATAAATGTATAACCAGTTTTTTACAATAAAGCCTCGAATTTCGGAAAAAAACGGCGGAAGCAAAGTTGTACACAATGGACATAATAATAAGATAATAATAAGACATATAGGCCGTATTCTGATATGCACAGCCAGTACTGAAAATTTATTCACGTTACGTATGCTGTAGATGTTCGTATTGACAGTTTATATCGGAACACGCCTATAAAATATAAAGACATAATTATGAAGTCATATTTTATTTATATTCATTGTTATTTATATTCATGCTACATTTAACTCCTACTTCTAATTTTTTATATTTAAATTTATACAATACAAAATCTTAATAAATATTGCAGTAACGTTGTAATATTACAGCAATGTTGCCGCATTATTACAATGTTTCTGCAATAATATTGCAAGTATTCCTCCATTGTGCGCAAAACCTAATATTGCACATATATATATTATGTTGTAATATTGCAACAATATTACAATATTATACTATATTACGTAACAATATTTTTAAAACGGACTTTACGTTGCTGCAATATTGTTGAAATATTGCAGCAATATTTCGCAATATTTTTACAATATTGCAATGAAATATTTTTGCTGCAATATTTCTGTGCTGTGGGTATATATAATAATAGTATCCTTGATTGGTCTTTGATAAAACGTCCCTACAGATTGTGACATGGCTTGCCATAAGAAATGCGAAAAACTGACAGGGAATCTATGTGGATTGAATCAAAAACTAGTCGCTGAAGCATTGCAAGCTTTGAAGAGAAGTGAGTAATGATCTGAGTACCTCTCGTATTGTTAATTATTCAATTGTAACATTTCGATAAACATAGTTCTACTAAAGTAAACATAATATTTTGTGATTATTGATTGTTTTTTTTTAGCTGATTTCACAAACATAAATATGAATACGAATTATGTAAATAATTTTTTAACTGTCAGATCTATTTCTAAGAAATATTTTACTGCTACGTGGTTAGTAATTGATTGATAAAAATTTATAAAGTAATTAAAATCATAAGAAATTCTTTTGATTCTCATAATGAAGAAGTTATCATATTTTATATACGTATGTATATGTAAATCATATAACAAATGCGCGCACACACGTATATGTGTAATACAGATATCGCTTATATATTGGATTGTCCGGAAAGTTCGTGCCGACTATAAAATTTAACCTACCAACCTATATAATTTAATAAATGTATACTAAAATTTAAATCTGCGTTTCAATTTTCCTTCAACATCGACACGAACTTTCCGGACAACCCAATAATATCATTCATCATTTTTAATGTATTTATCCGTATTCTCATGTTTGTTGCACTGAAAAGTTAAAATTAATTATTCTTGTCTGTCTAACAAATTGCATGAATCGGAGAAAACATGCTTGTATTCCAATGAACGTATTCCAACAACGATATGTTTAATTTTACATTTATTTTATTATTTATAACACAGATCGATTTGCTGATTATGATTTATTTTTAGCTCCTTCACAGTCATCAGATAATCAACGAAACTCAGATTCTTCGGATCATTTTTCGAGTGGCCGAATAACACCACCAGCGACGAATTTGCCCAGATTCAAGAAATATACCATAATGGATTTTAATTTTCTCAAAGTAAGTATAAGTCAAAGTCTTGTTAACATTTTCCTTAATAATGAAATGTATGTATAATCTGATTTATTCAGAATGAATTCTATACATCCTATTTTTATGCAAATGTTTGACTTTAATTTAAAATATATACTTTTTGTATATGTACTTGTATAACTTTTCGTTGTTATGCGTGTCATATCTATCCCAGATAGCAAAATGTTAGCAGGATGTCGACAGACTGATAGCAGATTTGATCAGAAGTTAGCAAACTGACCATAACTGATGTTGCATCTGCTTCTACTGATTTGCATAGAACCTGTTCTATGCAAACAGACTGGCAGCAGAAATCAAAATCAAACAGAATCTAATAGCAAATTGATAGCAGAAACCGAGCAAAATCTGTCAGTTTCATTTAAATCGATCTAATTTCTTATAAGAAATTTTACGTACATATATTAATAAACGGTTATACAATATATGTATAATTATACATATATAACTGTTTCATATCTATAATAATTATATATTTATATGTATATGTGCAAAACTGGAAACAATCAATAGAGTTTTATTGCTTAAAGTATTATTGATTAGCTTCACATTTCAAAATACACCTGAGAAAGTTATAAACAAAAAAAATATTCGGAAATTCAGAAACACTCTGAAAGATCTTGGGAATCTTTAGATTTGCTTATTTTTTATATTCGCCAATTCTTACAAGATTCCTGGATTTTTTTCTTACGAGAAACAAATCCATCTCGGCGAAACCGTATAAAATAGCATATCTTGCTCGGCTACCAATCTGCCATCACATTATGCAATAGACTCTAAGATTATGCAATAGACAGTTAAATATTAAAGAAATATATGCTATGTTAATAAATAATATCAAAATATTACAGTAATATTGTTGCAATATAACTAATAATGAGGAATTTAAATGAGATTTCAGCGATGTTAAAAACATTATTAAGATATCAATTATAGGTATACTGAATAAAATGCATATGGAATTATTTTAAAATTAACATTACTCCAATATAAAATAAATATTAATATTTCTAATTGATACAATATATTACAGTTATTTATGCATATGGTCTTTTATACGATACAATTGTATGTAATACTGGCAAAGTGATAAATTTAATCTTGTTCCGAATTTTATAAGTTTTTGCGCATATGTTTTAACAAAATCATGATTCTAAACATCAATGTTTGATTCAAAGCATAAAGAATGGATTTTGCCCATCGCGCGATCTGTGTGTCAAAATGGTCAATAAAAGTAAGAGAGGAGGGATCGTGAAAGATAGCCGATCTCTACCACTTTCCATTCAAAAATATAAGGAGAGAGAATGGAGATAGGTTTTCCACGATCCCTCTCCCTCATTATTGTCAATACATTTGAATACTACTTACAGTTACATACGGATCGCGCAATCTATTCTCTATATCTTTGCTTTTGGTTTGATTATTTCACAACTATTCCAACATATTATTCCCATAGTGTAAGTGAACACATGTATATCTAATACCGTAAAACAGACTCTTGCATAACGCATAATACATAAGAAATTGAACCAATCAGAGTTCTTTATTTCATAAAAAAGAAAGAAATGAAGGTCTTCGATTGGTACATTTTCTTATGCATTACGTGTTATGCGTTATGCAAGAATCTGTGTTCTCCGTTTAAACCGGGGTTACTTTGCCATCAGAATTTAACCATATACATAATTACGATATAAATAAGAACAGTAGTTTCACTCTGTGTCGGCATCTTTAATCTGATGCAAATGACCGCAATGCTGTAAATTGTGCGTGAGCAGCATCGACATATAGACTGGATCACCAATGGCATGGTAGAGATAGAAAAACGACTAGAATGAGAGGCAGATAAATGGATGAACTTCTTTCTTTGTTTACTAAAGTCTGATTAGTTGATAATTATTGCTGGATCAACAGTACAGACATAGTATCTCTAGTATCTATCTATAGTATCTATAGTATCTCTAAATCGAGCATTCGAGGAGTAGGGATAGCCGTCCTTTACATAGGATTCACTTGGCCCGTTCTCTCTCGTTTCGCGCCTACATATAAAGTGTACCTCTGAGAGAAGAGATCGAAAAAGCCCAGCGAGCTAACCTAGTTAACAAAAATTCCGAAACATGTCCGTTCCGTTCGCGATCGTTATAAGACTCTCTTCGCTGATCTGTAAGCTGTTACATTCAAGTTCCTCGTTTTCTTTTTCAATCTTCCTCTTTCAGAGACACTTTATATGCAGGCGCACGTGAGGCCAAGTGAGTGTATCTTTTCCTAAGGCACCTCCACTCCCCAAATTTCTGACAATGCTCGGTTTAGAAATATAATACTACGTCTATGATCAACAGCAACCCATCACTATTGGTGGTCCATTCTATATTGATAATGAGCACCTATAAAAGCAAAAAATCTTAGAGAATAGGAAAACTGATGGTTGCACAATATTGAAAATTGTGCAGAACGTCACCACCGTTTTTGGCTGAGTGAAACTGTTCTTACCTATGCTGTCGTGCAGTAGCGTCGGTACTTTTAATGTCAGCGTATATGAAACTGCACGTATGTGAATTAAGGAGGTAACCAAACATATGTCTAGTTTACATCCTGCATTTGATACACGTACTAACTAATAACTTTCAGCGATGTATTCAAAGAATGATATATTAAATTGATACAATATGTATCAAAATGATTAATTAAATACAAACATCGTATATATGTTTATACATATCGCCAAAATTAAGATCATTCAATAGAAAATTACTAGTTAGTATCCGTATCAAGTGCAAACTAGGCAAATGTTCTGTCCAGTCTACTATAGTCGATGTACTAGACTGCACTAAAACTTTCTATCTCGCTTTCACTAAACAAAATTATATCTATTTCGTTTTAAGTACACTCATCGACTAAAAAGGTTGCAATAGATTTTTTTTCTGTGGTTTTCGAAACGCAGCCTCACCGTGTGATTGGTTTTTACTTATGTAAGTAAGAATCAATGATTCGGAGAATTGCATTCAAAAAAAATGTTGCAACCTTTTAGGCCAATATTACATGCGTTTGTTTTTTGTCGTTTACGATCAATTTTTCAAGCCTGTTAGCTGTGAGACAAAAAGATCCGAGATCTTCTGTCTTGCAGCAATTAATACTTGAAAAATTCGTCGTACAACAAAAAACGGATGCACGTAATATTGGCCTTAATTGATGAGTGTACTTAATCCTAGTATAAGATCCTAATAATCATAGGTTCAATGTACCCTATTCGATTTTTTACATTTTACTGTAACTTTTTTATAATATAATTTAAAGACCCGGATTGAGGCTGAAAAAAAAACTTGAACTGTAGTCCAGATGATACGTCTGCAAGAGTTTTTTTTGCGTTATTCTCGATATGAGAATGTATAAAAGTTCAAAGAGGGTAGTATTTGGGATGCATATATGATTAGCTTGTAAGTTTTCGATATCTCTCGTTCTGGATATTTCTTTATTTTTTATTAATTATTAATTGCGTGCCGATATGGTTGTTGGACTTTCAATGAAATCAATTTGAAATATTAATAATCCCTTCAAATTTCTCGAATTTAATCTTAAACTATAATATTAATAAACTTATTACGAAACGCAATTATAATTTCTGAAATTAATTCATTTAAATGAATATATATAATAATAACATCTTAACATCTTAATGTTCAGACCGTAGTGGCGCTTCGTATTTAAAGTAACGTATCTAACATAAATGGTCTTATTCCCAATCTTATTATTAAAAATTATATTTAAAAATTATATTTAAAAAAATTATATTTCAATATAAAAAATAGTAGAAATTTTATAATTTTTGTCAGTCTTCAGAGATCGTTCGGCCGGGGCGGATTTATTGCTTTACCCAGCAAACAAGAATGAATTGAAATGGATTAAAATGGATTCATGAATGTTAAAATAAATCCTTTTCAATCCTGAATGCATTTTTATTCATTTATACGAATTGCATATAGCATGTCTCTATGCCTTTCAATCTAAAAATAATATTAGCATTTTCTGTGCATCGTGAATACTACTCAATTCAGAATTGTGAATAGAAAGTACGATATTTTTAATACACTTCAATTCAAAAACAATATCAGCAATTTTTGTGCAAAGTGAATATTACTCAATTCAATGTTCTGAATATGAAATGCAGTTTTTCAATCTAATTAAATAAAAAAAGTTTTTATTTAAAAATGGACTATAAATCTATTTAAATTATTTAAAATTACAAGTAGAAAATTTTTTTAATCCAACTAAGTTCAAAAAAATTGTAACATAAAAATAATTGAGCTATGTTTATTTGTTTATCTTTGGTTAAATAAAATGAACGATCGATATGAACACTCGCAAACTAACTCGAACACAGCCGAATATTAGGCTAATCACGGCGCGCGACAAGCAAAATTAGATTATCCGACACTTACCCAATGTTGTCTCATAATAATATAAATTGTTTATACTTTATTATATCTGTTAAATGATGATATTTTTATTATATCTATATAATTTCGTTACTAGTTTAGCTGGTTATAATTGAAGTAGAGAATGAATAAACATTTATCAGTTGAAGAAATGGTGTAGCGGGTAACGTAAAAAATTCATAATCCAGAGGTCACAGGTTCGAATCCCACTAAGATGCGTTTTTTAATATCAATTTGAAGTAGTTAATTTCAAATATAATTATTATAAATAGGAATAAAATTTGTAACCTTTAAAGATGAACGTTTTTTTTTTTCAAATATTAAACTAGTATCAACTCGGATCCAATCCATTTCAATCCATTTTCATAGATTTAAAGTACGCATTAAAAAAATTTTAATCCATTTTAATTCATTCTCGTTTGCTGGATAGAGCGAGTGTTGCATCATCCTTTAAACTAAATCCTAAACTTAATTATATATAATAATATTTATACATGTACAATCCTTTATCTACTTATATTATTATTCTTTCATATTGTT